TACCAGACGGAGCCGCGCTGTGCTCCCAACGCCGTGGAACACCTCCGAGCAGAGGACAGGTGTGCCAGAGGGACTCCGTAATGGAGGTGCCGTCCTCAGCTTGAACACTCGTGCTGTGGATGCCGTGGGGACAGGCGCATGGGAGACCCATCCTGTCACATGTGACTCAGCGTGCTGACATGCAACTCTCCAACCTCAGCTGTCCCTCCAGGCTCCGGGCAAGCCCACTGCTCTGAGCCCCGATGCCAACCACCTTCTCTCCTGACTCTGCCCTTGCTCCTTCGGAGACCACAGACCCTCCAGGCCTGCACCCTCGCACTCCCTTCTCTGGTTTTGGGATCAAAGATCACATCCGTCCCCTCTCTTCTTGCTTTCCCGGGCCTCTGATTTCTCCTGCCTTCTGCTGCCGTAAAAGTGCTCCCACACGCAGGTAAACACGCCCTCTTTATTAGTATCTGATTTTCTCTCCTGCCTGGACCCCTTCTTTCAGCCAAACATTTTCTCTCTCAGCCTCAGAGCACGCTTTTCCTTCCATATGCTGTGACCAGGCCTGGTGCCTCTGCTGCCCAAGGGGCCAGGTCAGAGCTGATGTGGCCGAGCAAAGCTGTCCTTTCCGGGAGCAGAGCTGAGTAATGAAACATACGGCAGCACAGGCACATCCATCTGAAGGACACCATTCGGAAACTTCCCGGTGCTGAAGTTATCTTCAGTGATGTAGTGAGTCTGGACTCTCTTAAAATCAGTGTGCCCCCATAGACACGGGCTAATTTACAGTATTACTGTGGCACGGCCTCCTTAAACGGAATCTGTGTTGAATTCTGAAAAGTGGAAAAATTCCTGTAAGGCAAATTATGACCCCTTCCACCCTCAATCCTACAAATCCAGTCCAATAGGTTTTCTTAAAGCAGATTGCGCATCTGGAGAAGCTGACATTTCCAGACTTTGGACAAATCCACTGTTTACCCAGTGATCAAAATTGTTATTAAGGCTTTTTTTTTTTAACTTTCCAATTCCAAGAAAATCCATGTCTTTGGGGGACGGAGTATCCCTGTCTCTGGAGAACAGGGACCCATCCTTTCATTCAGGAGCTCTGCAGCACCTCCTGCATTCTGATTGCAAACAGAAAAGTCTGGAAGAATCAAACACATACAGTTGAAGGCCCAGAAGACATTCAGCACCGATGCAGAAACGGCCAGCATGCAGGTCTGACAACATCGCGGCGTGTATAAGCTCTTGAATCTGGACTGCTGTCCTTTTCCCCAACGGGGTCTCACTAAGGCGGAGAGAGTCACCTCCCCCTCAGCAATCCTGCCAGGGAGGCCAGGCCGTGGCGGCCCACGTGTGGGACATACCTGCTTATCTATTTAGCTCATCACATCATGCTGCAGGTTTGAGTAGGAGAATGTTCCTTCTGCTGTCGAGATGTTTTCCTTTTCCTTTTATTTTTTTTTTCCCCTGGGGAATGAAAACTGACTCTAGTCTGTGTGATACTTGTTCCTCCTCTCCCGCAACCTGCCTGCCAGGACGGCCTGAAATATCTGTTCTGCTAATAGCCCAGCACGTCGGTGCACAGTGAAGACATTTATCCCCGAGCACGAGCACGACCCCAGCACCTGACCGCCTTTGTCCCCATCCCAGTGGTTCAAGGACTGTGGGTGAGCGCCTGGCCCCCAGGCCGGTCTTCTGCAGAATTCCAGCCCTGTGCTTTCGCAGAGCTCGCAGCCAAAGCAAATGACATTTGTGACAATGAGAAAGCCAAGACCGATGGGAACAGCCACATCAAAGTTGTGCCCACTTTTTTAAAACTTCTTTGAACATGTTAGGAAGAGCGGGTGTACACTCCAGCCAGGGACGTGGGGAGGGGGTGCCCCCACACTGTCAGGGCGCCAGACGCACAGGGGCCCCGAGCGGGGTGGTCCCGAAGCTCTCACGCCCGCTGCAGTTCAGCCTCGCCCGCCGCCCACACCGAGCAGGAAAGCAGGAGACTGCTTGGGGCTGCTCCGAGTGTGACACCCCCGGCCTGGCCAGCACTCCTCTCAGGGACCCAGGATGACTGTGGGGCGGCGCGAGGTCACGAAATCACTCGTGGGGTTTCATCCAAGACGCCCCCAGACAGCGATCAAGCGAGGTGGCCCCCCCGTGGAGGGGTGGGCGCCAAAAGGGTGGGGGTGGGAGGCGCCCCTAAGCCTGAGCCTCCGGGGTCCACGCGAAGGGGGCGGCGCGCGCCCAGGGGAGTGAGCCGGAACCGCCCCCAGCCAGACGCCGAAGGCGCCCCGCCCCACCTGGCAGGACCCCCGCCCCGCCGGCTCCGCCTCCCCCCACCCCCCGCCCCACCCGGCGCCTACCCTCGCGACCTCCCTCTGGCCGGCTAGCGCGGGAGGGGCCGCAGCGTGGCTTTGTCCTACAGTCAGGGTGGAATCCAGGCCCGAGGGGGACCCTCGTGCCCCCAGCCCCCTTGGCGTTAATTAGGAGGCAGCCGAGGATGGGGAGGGGAGGCCGCGCTCTGTGGCCACGTCTTTCTCACCCCCACCGGCTTGTGGTGGAGTGTTGCAGGGGTGCGGGAGGGAGGGGATGGGGCGGGGGCGTTCCGCGGAGGGAGGTCTGGAGACAGCCGCCCCCCGAGACCGGACTCGAAGCCTGTAGGTGCGGACACCCGGCCCCGAGGAGGTTCCCGGACTCGGAAGTTGTGGGGTCCTGCCTGCGTCCCTCCTTCCCCGCACCCTACGCCCCTCCCCCCCCCAAAAGGCGCCGGAAACTCGCCGGGGGAGGGGCCCGAGCGTGCAGCGGCGCCTGCGGGGACACACGCGCGCTCGCGGGGGCCCGCTTGTCCCTGCTCCCGGGCTGCCCGGCGGCGCGGGGGCGGGGCGGCGGGGGGAGGGGGCAGGAAATGCCGTTAATTGGGGGAAATGCACACCAATTGCGCGGCGGTCTTTGATGTGCGCCTCCGAGCTCGGCCCCTGCACGCCGAGCCCACCCGGCGTGCGCCCCACTCCCCGCGCTCCCGCGAGCGCAGCCGGCCGAGCGCCAAGGACAGGACGTGTGACATTGGTCTGAAAAAGCAGGAGGCCCTGGGTCTCCTTCGGTCTCTAGCGTCAGACAGCTCGCCTGGAGCCCCCTCCGTCTCTCCCCGAAGGCCCGATTCCTGGGCGTGGGTGGGGAGGCCGAGCCCTGGCGAGGCTGGCCACGCTGACTGCGGGTGCCGACGAGGAGCGGCCGCCGCGTGCCGGCCCAGCATATGTACACGTAGAAATACAGTGTTCGTCCAAATGACATTCCGCTCCCTCTCCCTCTCGCCCCCCTTTTTCTTTTCATCATCAGCAAATAAAGATTAGCTGGTAAGATTATAAAAAGCGTTTTCAGGCTGGTGCTGATCTTTATTCCAGAGGCTTTGTGCCGATATTGATGATGATGATGGTCAAGTGGACAGTTTGATTTTTGTGTTTGGAACTAGTTATAAAGAATCAATATTATATCAAGGGGTAACTTTCGTGATAAAGGACTTTAACCACTGTGGCTATTCATCATAAGTCTGTAGCGAGCAGATAGGTCAAAAGAAATTATATTGCACTAAAGACTGAGTCTTCTTATCTCTCCCATACCAGGGGAATAGGGACAAGCCGATCGATACAGTAGCTGCTGTATACTTCTTGCAATTATCAATAGCTGATTTCGCCTTTTGAGGCCTGCATCTAATAATGCAAGCTAATAATAATCGTTTGAGCTTCCCTATAAGCAGGGGAGTCAAAGTTTTAGCTGGCCAGCATTATTTTTGTCAGCATACACACTGAAGTGCCCCTCCTGGGTCTATCCACAGCCCAGATACACAGGTCAACGCCTACAAGAGAAGGACTTTCATATCCTTTGCATCCCTGAGTGTGAAGACAGGTGGCCATGCACTGCTGTTTCTCTGAGAGACATGAAAAACCCCAAAATGTTTGCCTGGGAACCTACTGGTGAGGTGGTAAGCCATCCTGTAATGTACAAGATGCTGGGACGCACACAGACCTAGATGGATTCATATACTATTCTCTTGACTCCCATCTGTGGAAAATTTCAACACAGTTACCTCCATAGCTTGGACAGGCAAGAGGGTGACAGCAGGAGCTGAGCGGGAATGTGGGCAGGGCATTAGTTGTGTATTGGTTTATTTAAGGAGAACATTTTTTTTAAGAGGGTAGAGTTATCTTCAAGTGGGTGAGCAAGAAGCTTGGGGGAAAGGCATTTTCAAAAAGCCGTAGACATAATTTGGGGCTACATGTTTCCTGGCGCCCCCACAATGTCACAGAAAAGCAACATTTATAATTGGCACTTGACACGCTGTTTGCGTTGGGCTGTGGTACACCAGGCACAGATTTCCTGTTGATGGAAACATTTATCATTGTGACTGCCCCAGAGTGGCAGGTGGTGTTATCAATTACCTCTTCTTACCAATAATAATATTAGTATGGTAATATCTTTGCTCAAGTGAGAACCAATTAGCGGTCACTTGTCACAGCATTAAAGACACAAAATCATGCTGGATTTAAAGGCAAGAACCTAAAACAAAAGTTGGGGGTGGGGGAGGAACCAGAGAGAAAGGAGTGAAGGCCAGTGACAAGAGAACTTTGATTTGGGGGGGGGGGGGGAGCATGAAAGGAGACAGAAAATAAAGCTGTAATCCTTTAATACATTTTCTGTATCAACTAGCTAGGGAGTAAGCGCACGACAGAGTATCCAATGCACCGCACGCAGGTAAAGGGCGCTCTGGGGGCGGAGGGCCAGGTAGCTTCCCTAAGCTGGGATGTGGAAATAGAACCGACTCTTCAACCTCCCCTTGTCAAATCCATCTTGCAGATAGGCTTTCAGTCTTATTTGAATAAATGATACAAATTAAAATCAAACATCTAATTATATGTTCCACTAATGTAAAATCTACAGTATTAATTTGTAAATAATATTATTAAGCAGACAAAATAATAACGTGTCGCCTCATAAGATGAAAACAACATCGCAAGAGGAAAGACAATTAACACATTAGATTTAATTATAGAGAAGAAAAGCAACTTTTGTTTTTGCAACAGTATTTAGGTATTACAATATTTTAATAGGCAGCGGTCACGTGACGGTGAGTCTATGAGTTCTGCATGCACGAGTCCGTGTCTGCACCTCAGACACACATTCCGGTGCTTGCCCTTAATCTAGGCACGACTGGAGGATAATCCTGTCCCTCATCTGTGAAAATATGCTGTTGACACGCTGTCACCTCACAATAAATCTGTTGTTGTGACTCAAGCTTAAAATATGTACACTTTCATCAAAACTGGCCACGCCGCGTTAAAACAATTAAAGAAAAGTTCCACATCTTGGTGGGGAGCCAAGAAAGGCAGAACAGGTAAGGGAGGAGGTAATGCGCATTTTGCTTTCGACCTTTTAAATATATACATATTGATCGTGTTTACCCCAGTCGATTTTTTAAAAGGGTTCACCTCAGATTCACGGATCTGCACCATCAGAGCCCTGGCGGGGAATTTGCAAAGGTTCTCGTTTCATATTCTCCCTGACCCTTTCCTCCACGTCTGCTCGATTTTCTCAACGAAATCCCAGCTCAGTGCGCTCAGAGGGCGGTGTGGAGCCTGCCACTTCCCCCAGCCCACTCCACCCTGCACGCCCGCGTGGGGACCAGTGCTCACACCGGGCAAGGCGGGCCGGGGCAGCTGCAAGTCCTGCGTTCGCGCCCGCTCGCCGTGAGCCACTGTCCACCACAGCGCCAAGCAGAGCCTGCTGCACCTTCCCTTACGACGCTCGACACGCCTTGTGCGACACCTCTGCAGTCCGAGGGCTTGCTGTTACAGATACTGGGCCGGGGCCTCAGACTGGCCTCCACGGGAGGAACCTCAGAGAGCCTCTCCAAAACCATACCTCGTAGAAAAGGCAAACCAAGTTGACAAAAATTAAAACAGTTGCGTTTGGAAGTCCCATAAAGACCTAGGAAAATCACACCGTTGTGTTGGAGAGAGGCTGGGGGTAGGGGGAGACGGACGAATGGCCTTAAGAACAAAAAAGGTGGGGGTCCGCGCTCACAGAGTAACCGAGGAGGAGGAGTCGGTGCTGTGGGGGCCAGAAGGCTGCGGGGGAGCCGGGCTCCGGCTTCCTCTGAAAGGCTTCCGACGCGGCGGGAACCTACATTTGCTTCTTCTGCGTCTTAAAGTGTGGACTTAAAAAAAAGAAGAAGAAGAAGGGGAAAAAAGAAAATTAACCAGGTCCCCAAAAGCAGTGCACCTTTAACCTGGGGTCTAACCCACCGATGAGGGCTTTTGCATTCTTTCTCTTCTAGAAAGACGTCAGGGAAATCTACCTTTCTGCAGCGACTCTGCGACTTCCCCCAACTCTGGCCGGTCCTGTAAATTCTGCAAGAAACTTCCATTCGCTACAACCGCCCCCACCTCACCGAGACACGTTCCCTTCCTCTCCCCCTACCACCGCTTCTCCTTGCCCCTTTCTCTGCTGGAAAGTTCCTGGCCGCGCTTGCCCCAAAGCCCCGGCTGCAGCCTGCAAACTTTTCACTGAAGCTCAGTGCGGGGTGCAGAAGCGTCCCCAAAGGCTCGAGACATTCGCGAAAGTTCACAGGGCAATGGCAATATAAGGAAGCCCCCCGCCCCCCATGCTTCACCATAAAAGGGTGGTGTGGGGCGAACAACTCTAGACTTCAAACATCTTTTATTTGTCTTTTTTTCCTTTTCAAAACCAAAATCGCCCAAATGAATACGCCCGCCACTAAAAAGCAAAACAAAACCAACCTTAAGGGTTTTGTTGTTGTTGTTGTTGTTTTGAGGGGGGACAAATGTGGCGGCGGGGGTGGTCTTTGGAGGCGATGCCGACCTGCACGCTTCCTTCCTCTGATTTTCCTGCGCTTTCCTGGAGCCCAAAAGCTGTTGCTTCGTGAAACTTACACAATTAGAGTCGGGCGAGAGAACGCAGGCTGGGAATCGAGAAGATTCTAGAAAGGAAAAGAAACCCGCGGAGAGGCGGACGAACAGCTCAGGGTCGGGGTCCATCCCCGGGGGGGGGGGGGGGGGGGGGGCCCGCAGCCGGGCAGAGTCCCACCCCCAGCCACTCGAGGAGCTCGCAGCCCTCCGTGCGCTCGGGGCTGGCGAGTCGCCGCCTGCATCCCCCCAGCGCACGACACTGGGGAGGCCATCTGTGCCAAAGCTTCGTACCACACAGGGCCACTTGTAAGGACAAAAATAAGAAATTTAGGAAATGAAAAAAGAGAAACTGGGACAAGGGGCGCACAGGGGCGGGCGCGGTGGCGCCAGGGCCTGGAGCATATCCTGGTGGCCGCTCGGGGACCGAGGACACGCGCGAGTGTGTGCACAGGGGCGGTGGGGCGCGCGCGCGGTGCGAAGGCGCGTGCGTGAGCTCGGGCGAAGGGTGGGTGGGCGTGCGGGAGCGCGCCGCACTGGCCGCCCGAGGGTGCGGGGCCGGGTCAGACGCGCGCGACCTCCTTACCCACCACCCCATCCCCCAGTCACTCCCGAAAGTCCTAGAAGGCGGCGGGCCGCGCGCGAGACTTTCGTGGACTTGGAACTTTGAGCCGCGTGGCCTCGGGGCACCTTGCGCCCCCTGCCCAGTCCGCATACGTCCCGGCCCTGCCCCGGTCGGGAAGGGGAGCTAGTGTGTGTGTTGGGGGGGGAGACACCGGAGCTCCGCCGTCCCCTCCCTCCCGTTCGCTTTAAGGAGCCGCTGGCGGCCGGGAGGCCCAGCGGGCGGGGCGGGCGCTCCGAGTCTGAGGGGCCCGGGGGGGGGGGGGGGGGGAGACAGAGGGACGGACGGGAGGGGGCCGCGGGGAGGGGAGGGGAGGAGCCGCGCGGCCCGCGCCGCTTCCGAACCGGAAAGTTGGTCTTGCCGAAGTCCCGCCACCCCGGCGTGCGCACTCCGCTCCGCTCCGGCCGCGAGCGTCGGAGCCGGCCGGTCGCCGGCGGAGCCCGCGGAGGGGACGCGAGCCCGGAGAGGAGAGACGGTCCGCAGGCGGGGGCACCTGAGCCCGAGCGCGGCCGGCGCGCCGAGCCAGACCCGCCGCGGAGGAGCCGAGCCGGCCCGCCGCCCGGCCTTGCGCGCCCGGAGCGCAGGCGGCGAGGCGCCCGAGCGGGCCGGCGAGACAAAGGCGCCGGGCCGGAGCCCTGCCCGCGGCCGCTCGCTCCGGGAGGGGCGGCCGGGCGGCGGGGGGGCGCGCGCGCGGGGCGCGGGCGGCGGCGCAGACTCTCTATAAAGGGGCGAGCCCGGCGCGCCGGCGGAGACGGCGCCGCGCGGACGCCGCCAAAGTTTGCCGCCTGCGCCCTGGGCAGCGCGGCCGCCGCGCCCCGCGCCCGCCGCCCCGGGCCCCGAGGAGTGCCCGCGCCGAGCCGCCGGGCCGCCTGGGCCGAGATGTGAGCGCCGCCGCGCCGGGTCCCGCAGGCGCCCCTCGCCCTGCGCGGCCGCTAATTGCGAGCGCGGCCTCATTTGCATAGGCCGCCGAGTCCGCTGGAGACCGGCCAATCGGCGCGGCCCGCCGCTAATGGCCATGCATTATTCACCAGCCTAATTGCTCAGCCCCATGCGCGGCCCGCGCAGCCGTCGCCGCCCGCGCCCCGCGCCCCGCGCCCCGTGTCGTCCCCGCCGGCCGCCCCGCTGATGCCGATGTACCGCTCGGGGCCCGCGCGCCGCTAGCAGCATGTCTCGGCGCAAGCAGGCCAAGCCCCAGCACCTCAAGTCGGATGAAGAGCTGCCGCCGCCGGACGGGGCTCCCGAGCACGGTGAGGGGCCGCGGGGGTCGGGTCGGCCGGGGTCCGGCGCGGGGCGCCGCGGGCTGGGGGGAAACTGCTGGTCCCAGAGCCGGAGCGCGGCGCCCGGCCCCGGCAGGCCAGCCGCAGGGACCCCGGTCCTCCCCGGAGCGCGCGGCGCGGAGTTGCGGGCAAGTAAACTTGGTTCGGCTGCTCGGAGTTGGGGCGCAGCGCGCGGACGCGCCGGGGCTCGGGCCGGCTGGGGGCCCGAGCTGCCGGGGCAGGCGGTGGGGGTCGGGGGGGGCGTGGGGGGGCCGCGCCGCCGACTCAGCGCTGGCCTTCCGGGACCTCGCGCACGAACCCTGGGCCGGGCCTGGGCGACCGCGCGACCCCCGGGCCGGCGCGGCAGCGGGGACGTGTCCGGGGCTCAACGACCGCCGGACGCGGGCCGGGGAGGCCGCCGCCCGGGCAGCTTTGTTCGGAGCCTGGCCCCGGGGCGGTGCGCGCTCGGAGCGGGGCCGCTGCCTGATCCCCGGCCTGCCCCCCACCCCGGCCGGCTGTCGGCCGCCTCGTGTGCCCCGAGGGCCGTGCAGCCTGCGAGGTCCCGGCGTGCCGACGAGCCCGGATCCCGTTCCGAGGCGACTGGGAAGTCAGTGTCGCCTGGCCTTTCTAATGGCCGCCTTGGGAATTAAGCCGGGTGAGCCCCGCCGCGGCGTGGGGGTGGTCCTTGCACGCGGTAGGACCCGGCACGTTCCTGGTGGCTCCAAGTTTCCTCGGGCCTTTCCTGTTCTCTCGGATGCGCCCCGGCACCTCTGCAGCCGGTGGGCTGCCTGGAGCTCCCTCCGCATCCCGAAGGGAAGGTAGGCGCCGCGGAAGTGGGAGGCGGACGAGCAGGGGACCGGCCGGGCTGCGCTTTGCCGCCCGCGCGTCTGCGGGTCCCCAGGGTGCGCCGGGGGCGGCCGGGGGCGGCCGGGGACGCGGGCCTCCCGCGCCGCGCGGGGCTCCGACCGCCGCAGCTGGAGAACGCAGGCCGCCCAACTTTGGGGACGAGCCGGCTGTAAGTTGTGGCGGGGCAGGGACGCGTCTTTGCTCCGTGAGACTTGAGCAAAAAAGCAAAAACCCAAACAGAAGGAGTGTAAGAGTTTATCACACGGTGTCGCAAAGTTTGGCAAAGCAGGTATGTGTGCACGTCGGAATCGGGAAGGGAGAAAACGTTTATCACGCGGTGGGAGTTAGTGAATTAAATAAAACGAGTGAAGTCCTCCGTTCTTTTTGTCGCTGAGGAGGTGGGGAGTCTTATCTGTAGCCCTAGTCACCCGAGATTAGAACAGCAGATATGCTAAAAAGAAACGCTTGCATATGGTGGGTAGATTAAGGACAAAGAATCTTTTTGTCATGGAAATGGATTTTTTTTTGTTTTGTTTACTTCATCACATAGAATTTCTCACACTTGGTTTGTTTTGTATTGCCCTCAATGACTACATGATCAAATGAATGGATTTATTTCTGCCGAATGAGAAAGACAGTCTTCCCTTCAAAAGAACTACATTGCATCCCAGTGAGGAATTTTAAAGCTTTATTATTGTGGCTTCTGAATAGCTTAAAATCGGCTTTCACAGCCGCCCCAAAATGCAACAATGTAAATACTTCTCAGCTTTGTAGGGTCCTTATCAAAATGTGCAATGTCTCCTTTTATTAAAGCATATTTTAATTAATAGAGTAAAACCCCTTGTATTTAACAATTAACTAGCGGAGGCCCTGCTATTCATTTTTAATTTCACGTCAGAAATGCGAGCGTGGGGAGCCTAATCGTGTAAACATGTTGAGGGATATGTAGCCTATATTTGAAAACCTAGATGGAGTAAATTATTTACAAGTTCTCCTTTGAATTCCTCTTGTTACTGAATTTACTTAGAGGTGAAGCATATTCAGGGTGTGTGTTTTGTTTTGTTTTGTTTTGTTTTTTTACCCATCGTAGGATTAAAGTTTGTCAAGCTTGGGTTTTTCGCAGTCGTTGGGAATTGTAATCAAGATATTGCCACAGTTCCTGGTCAAATTTTGCAACAGGCCAGAAATAGCCTGTCTGGGGCTGAGCTGTAGTCAAGTAGTATGTTTCCTGGATCATTTTAAAGGTACTTTAGGCAAACTATTTAAAAAATAGTTCTTTCTGATTTAATTATTCTGAAGCTGATTGTTCATGGAGTATAAAAGATACTCTGTTCTCTGTTCAGTCAAGGAATGCTTGTGGATGTGTGGTCGTGCTGATCGTCATTAGTAAGATAACTAAAATATTTTTTTAAGAGAAAGGGTTCTGAAAACTCCCTGACTCCAGCATGAATCAGATATTCTCAAAATTGTAATTTTGTTAAATGCAATGGAAGGAAACAGACTGTGCATGAAGTTCTAAGAGGGCTAAGTTAGTTTACAGTGTTTTAGAGACAAAGTAAATAGTTCTTTTGTATCAGTTTGGGCGTGACATATTAATTAAAGCAGTAGATGCATGAAGTAAAATTGAAGGCTATTAATGTTGCCATGAAACACAAACACGTGTACAATTTTTAGTACAATATGGGGGAGAGCAGCAATGTACAGTCACATTAATTTACAGTAAAAAGAGATCAGTTCTTAAAAATATAGAAATGACTATTTCTCAGGCTTTGGTTTTTAGGCAGGCAGTGAAATCGTGGCTATCCAAAAAACAGCGCCAGCATTACCCAAACCTTATCATGGCAGAAATGAAATATGATGACGTAGCTACAATGAGAAAAAGTAATCATGGGTTGTGTTAAGTTCTGAAGTTATCCTGTTGTAAAATTTTATTTGAAGGATGCCTGAGACTTACTTTCTCTCTAAGAACCATCATTTAAAATTATAAATTATTGCATTCTTGTCTGAAAATTTAGAAATAAATGTGATGCAGCTTTAGAATTCAGCTAAATGCATGCCACGGGATAATGAAATTTTTTGAGCCATCTGAGTATTTTTGTTCTAAGAAAAATTAATTAAAACTTCTGACAGAACAGCACTTGTACTCCTACTAAGAACTTTAAAAAAGTGTGCTATTGCTGTCCTTTGTTGTATAAAATTCAACTTAATAAAGATGTATTTTATTGTCATTACAAAGAATATTTAAGGAAGAACAAAAAGATACTATAATTTAAAACAATTTGCCATCCTGTATTTTGTTTGCTAGCACTAATTGTTTCAAAATGTGTTATTTTCTGCCAACTTACAGTCGTATGGCTATCTTAAAAATCCTTTTAAATGTGGTATGCATGTGATTTAAGAATTTACCAGTGGTCTTCACAGACTGTGTTTAAATTAAGGGAAAGAAGGCCACCAGCCCTCGGTGAAGAGATCTTTCTTCTTTTATCTGTATATGCATGGTTTGCCTTGAGTACTCCCCCCCCCCCAGCCCACACTACACACATTTACAATTCAGCATTCCAAAAGCAAACAATACCGAAGCCACTTTCTACCATTGGTAGGCAGATTGTTTTCTCTGAAACATGAAAGGTGAAAAGTAACTAAGGGGGGCTGGGGTGGAGTGGGGGGGAAGAAGAATTTGCAAATATTTATTTTGAAAATAACATTTTAAAAACGTAACCTATTTAAAGAGGCATCAGTTGGTGGGCACCAAGAAGCGTGCCAATTCCCACCTTACAGAGAAAGACCGATTCTGTAGCAGTTGGGGTTTATGTACATTTTAAACTCTACAACACATGCATAATCCAATATTTTTAGATCTGTTCAGAGCCAGAAAAAGAAGAAGGCATGTACCAACAGCAGGAATTACTTAGCAAGCTGATTATTTTTTGTACACAAGATGATGGCAAAAGTGGGTCAGATTTCATTTTCAACCGCAATCTCTAAGAGGCTTTCCCATTCATCTCAAGGTAGCTCTGAGAGCACTGGGAGGGAATGCAGCCAGGATGCAGCCAGGGTGTCTGTTGTGTGTGCTGGACATTAGCTGGAATTTAGCATTCTTAAGTGTGAGTATCGACACGGGGTGTTTTGGTGTGTTTTTGTGTTGGTGGTTTTGAGTTTTTTTTTTCCCCCAAGTGAAACAAGTCATCACTGCTCATGAGTTCTGCACTTTTAATGTTGCAGAATTGTTTCAAGGGGATACTTTGTGCATAACATTTATAACAGGAAGGGTGTTTTGTTTTGTTTTGTTTTGTTTTGTTAGTTTTTATTTTCCTACATGATTTCTTGACTAGTTGCCAGAATAAGACCAAAGTATCTGACTTAGTCTTTTGGAGATGAGATCTGATTCTGCTGCTCCTGGGACAGGTCTGTAAGGACAGCCTGCACCAAGTTGTTTCCCAGTCCATCCGAAATCAGAAGTCAAATCTATGTAAAATGGTTTTCCTAGTACTTTAAATAAACTTATATATTTAAAAAAGCAGCCCTGACCTTAGATTTTTCTCTTGTAGTTTGAACACTTTCATGCTTTAAAATGCAGTTAACTGTCAGTGTGATTTCCACGCAAACAAATAGGTCAAGTCACGTTACCGAAAGTGTAAAATATTAATTGAAATAATGAAATAACGTAATGGGCTCTATTTATGTGAGAGATTAAGATTGATTTGTTTGTTAATTAAAGGGGACCCTCTCGTGGCGGCAGAAACGTCCACCAGAGACCTGCCGGGCACCAGCCTGGTGCCTGCCTCCTGTTGTCCATGGGCCTGTCTTTCCTGGTCAGCCCGGGTCGGGCCAGGCCAGCCATCCGGCTTCCTGGCCCCCTGCGTTGCCAGAAAGCATCGGCCCAAGGCCTGGAAGGTAGGGCTGCAGAGCGAGGGA